GAAACTTCAAAAAGTGATATTTTATGTTTATATTACATAATGCTTCTCCCACTTTATATATTACTAGTGGACAAGGCAAACACTATCTGCATGCACAATAAAAAATTCTTAACACATAAAAATATTCTTAAAGAAAAAGATATTAATTTGTTCGTGATTATTTGAAATTTTATTAGGCTTATAAATGGGAGTATATCTTTTTTTTTTTTTGAAATGAAAGTAAGTTATTGGTGGTTTTTAGAAGGTTTATTCTAGTTGTAGTTGTAAAAGTTAGAGATATTGTGTGTAATATGCTTGAATGCAGGGTATGGAAGATGAGATGTGATTATATAGTGTTCTATCATGCAAGGGTAAAATTGAAATAATAAATGATAATATAATTTCTTAACATCAAATCCAAGACTTGTACATTATACATAGGGAGGAAAAATCACACCCTAGGGGTGTGCAAATTAAGAAAAAAAATAGAACTTTCGTATGGTAAAAAAATGTAGAATTTAATTATTCCAAGAAAAACATAAAATTGTTTGAATTTTTTTGTTTAAAAATAGTAAGATAATGAAGGTCACTAAAATTATTCTTTGTGGAGATTATATAATGTGAATCTTTACCTATATAAGAGTAAAGATATAATAACAAAGTAACAAAAAATTTTAGCACCAAAATCATCCCTCATACTTTATATATAGGAGGATCTATAAATGTATAGATACAGATGTATAGATGTTTAATGAGGCACAAATTTACTTGAATCTTTTACTTGTTTTGATTTGAAATCCATGTAGCAATTTGAAATAGTTAACCTCTCAAGTTTTGAAATTAAAAGTACGTCTAATATGAAATTAATTGAAACTATAAAGGTGATTTATATGTTAAAAAATTGAGACTGTATTAGATGGGAACTATTGAAGTATATATATATATATATATATATATATATATATATATATATATATATATATATATTTTAGAAATTCTTTTTATTTATTCATGGAAAATATAACCAAATATTCCTCTTACATAATCCTCATTTTTCTAATTGAAGGTATCCCTATTCTGTCCAAACGGATTGCCCCACGAGCCAACCTTGGGAACTATTGAAGTATATGAATTACTGGACGTGTTAAAAATTGGAACATGAGAAACTACATACGAAACACTCACTTCCAAAATTCCTTTACCACAAATCTCTCCTTCCCTCCTCTGCTTATTAAATTCCATCATTCCACTGCTTAAACGAATTAACCAAAAAAAGTTCTATTACCGAATGGGATTGAAAATTCAGGTCCCATTGTTTTTCATTTCTCTACTGATTCAAAAAAATTTTCCTGAATGTCAATGTGAATTGTGTTTCCTCCACTACTACTGCACAGGAAGAATTGATCTCAGCGGCAATTTGCTGCTCAAATTTTTTGTTTTAAAAAGTGCAATGAAAGTACTTTGCATATGATTCTGGATGAAGATTCAAACAAATTTATCCCTTCGCATAGGTGACAGTGTGAAGAATGAATCAGCGAAAGAGGTAATGAGATTTCTGCTTAATTAATTCGGGTGAAAGTGTCAAATGAAAAACCTTTTGAATTTCCAACAAAGATATTGGGTTTTACAAACTTTAAATACCACATTTTGCAACTTAAAAAAGTAGAGAAAATACAATATCTGTCCAAGATGCAGTGGATATGTCGCAAGGTTCAAGCTTTACCAAATTGTACTCAACAAATTTTTATCCAAAACAATATCCAAGTGAAGTATATGACTTGGTGTACCATCTGACATCACTGTTGGATGAATATTCTTAATTTGTTGCACAGCCACTATATGATTTAATACGTTGTGATCTCATTGTTAAATGAGCACCCAACTGTAAGATTAATGATATATTACCCTGTTTGGCAACTTAATCGATTAATCAAGTGACCCCCATTACCTGTTAGAGTAAATCTCAAACGATGATGCATTTCATCAGAAATAGTGCATAAATATTGACAATGGGGGTTGGATTTTTTGTATGTAACCTTCTGTTTTCTTTGGCACAAGTGCCAATATTTTCTACATGTACATGTACAGTTAATCAAAGTCGGTTTCATGTTTCAACGAATCAAGTTGACTTTCCAAATTCCTTCACCAACCTCTGATCCAATCTATATATATATCAGTTTGATGATCACCCCAGAGAAGCAAGCTAAGAGATGTAGCAAAAATTATATAGTTAGAGGTTCAAGCCAACACATAAATAACCCCTATGGATATGCTAAAAGGAGTTTTTGGGTGGATTAGTTCAAAAGTATGTCAAACGGCTTCCTTTATCTCTGAAAAGGTCTTGAATCTTTGGAGCTCCATCAAGAGCAAAATACACATTGCGAGAAAAATAGTTTTCTCTGAAAAGGTATGTCAAACGGCTTCCTTTACCTCTGAAAAGGTCTTGAATCTTTGGAGCTCCTTCAGGAGTAAAATACGCAGCATTGCGAGAAAAATTGTTTTCTCTGAAAAGGTATGTCAAACGGCTTCCTTTATCAGGAGTAAAATACGCATTGGAGTTTTTGGGTGGATTAGTTCAAAAGTATGTCAAACGGCTTCCTTTATCTCTGAAAAGGTCTTGAATCTTTGGAGCTCCATCAAGAGTAATACAAATTGGCTTGTTCATAAGGTACTGAATCTTTGGAGCTCCTTCAGGAGTAAAATACGCATTGGAGTTTTTGGGTGGATTAGTTCAAAAGTATGTCAAACGGCTTCCTTTCTCTCTGAAAAGGTCTCGAATCTTTGGAGCTCCATCAAGAGTAATATAAATTGGCTTGTTCTTAAGGTGTTGAATCTTTGGAGCTCCATCAGGAGTAAAATACGACGCATTGCGAGAAAAATTGTTTTCTCTGAAAAGGTATGTCAAACGGCTTCATTTATCAGGAGTAAAATACGCATTGGAGTTTTTGGGTGGGTTTGTCAAACGGCTTCCTCTATCTCTGAAAAGGTCTTGAATCTTTGGAGCTACATCAAGAGTAAAATCAGCAGTAAAATACGCATTGCGAGAAAATTTGTTATCCAGAAATTTTTGAAGAGTCGGATTATTCAGAAGTTGTTGCAGCTCTGGAGTTCAACACATTTTATTGTGAAAAATAGTGTTATCCAGAAGTTGCTGAAAAACTGGGATGTTCAGAAGTTCTTGAACAATTGGAGTAAGATGATCATTTTGGATCTATTTAAAATGTTTCTTCATGAAAGCATACCATGGTGGGTTATCCCGCTGATCCGCGATCCGCTTCATGCTCTGATATTTTAGATATGTTGAGCGATTATCATCAAAATGGTGCAGAGAAGTTTGTTCTTAGGCATTATGTTCGTCAAATTAATGATTAAGATATCTGGAATTCCTGATGTAATATGTTATATTCAAACTCTGTTCATTATATGTCAATGGCATTAGCAAAACATGTGAGCCTATATTTATTAGGACAATGATTTTACCATTTCTTTTCTATTTTGCTGATTATGATCCAATTATTCAATTTAAAAGTTTGTTCCAGTTTCAAAGTCAAAACAAAATTTGCACACATCAAAAGAAGTGGTTGTTTATTTTTCAGGTTGCATCAAAGGAAGAATTTGGCAAAGTTAAAAGATAGCTGAGCATTCAAAAGTGGGATGTGGGATGAGATCTTGCATGCATGATTGATTAAATTGGAACCTTCTCATTCAATTATAATCGGCAATACAAGTGCCAAATTGTCGAGTATTTTTAGATCATTTTGCAATGAATATGGAAATTTAAGAAAACTGAATTTTTTTTTTGACAAACGATAATATTTTTATAGATCTTAACACTTGATAATACAATAGCTAATTACAAAAAGGGGTAACTGCCCCCATATCTTTTCTAGCTAAACTTGCTAGCCAATTTGGGAATGAACCATCCCATTCAAAATTTCTAGTAGACTTGACTGCAAAAATTGGGCCAATGCATGGCTACAGCTCTTAGTAGTTCTAGGAACAAAAGTATACGTTTTTGTCGAGGGTTTTTGTAATGGAACACTTGTTAATACATGTCAATTTACTATGTAAATGTACACATTTACATTATTGTCATCTAGGATATTTTTACACTATTTCAATTAAATTTTTTTTTTTCAAAAAAGTTAATATTTGAACTCATCTTAAGTTTTGCCCATTGGACACTCGTAATATAGATCCTTCAATAAGAAAAAAAAAACCTTTCAAATCTCTGAACTCATTGAGTCATCAATCACTGTCTTCATCTTCAATCATCGAGGTAAGTAGAGTAATTCAAGTGTACATAAAAGAGTTTAAGCTTCAATTAAAGTTCTGGTATATCATTTCAAAAGTAAGTGAATTTGTAGAAAGTTTCAAACTAGGATGGGTTCAACTCATATCACCACCACAGGTCATGGCAATGCTTTCAGAATTATAAGTCACTTATAAGAGTTTTTATAAATCGGCCACCATTATATCCTTTACATTGATAGCTAAATTTGAACACACAATCTTCTATGAAAAAATAATCCATCCTGACTAATATAGCCAACTTGTATTGAATGACGCTGTTAGAATGAATTGAGCACACTAGTCAGGCATAAATTAAGCTCCGCAAAAACGGCTAATAAAGTTGCTTTTGAAGCCATTCAAGCGTTCTGTCTTTGACCGGGTAGAAATAGTAGAGTAGTTGCATAAATAACAAAAACTTTGCCATGCCATTCAAGCTATCATGTAAGGAATAAACCCATTAAGCACGAAATAAGTAAACCCACTAGAAAGTTTACAGCACAGCTAATGTTTGGTATAGAACTATATAGTAGGCTGGGATAAACTCTTAAAGAACTATAAACGCATCCAATGGGTTTGCCAAACCTATGCTTCTGTAGCCGGCTAAACCAAGAAAATTGACCCTCCATGCTCAGTATAAAACCCTCAACCTCTTCCAAAACATTGCACAGCAAAAATCCTTCTTTCTTGACTAAACCAAGAGTGCTTAGGTATTATTGGGGTTTGAGAATATGGGCTCCAAGGCCACTACAACCCCAGCTCTCTTTCTTGCCTTTAACCTTGCCTTTTTCATTCTGGTCAGTGCTTGTGTCCATTGCGCACCATCACCTCCTCAAGCAACTTGCCCAACAGATGCCCTGAAATTCGGCATATGTGCTAATTTGCTGAGTGTGATTGGGATCTTCGGTGGACCTCTCATAACAAAACCTTGTTGCTCTCTCCTTGATGGCCTTGTTGACCTTGACGCAGCCGTTTGCCTTTGCAAAGCCATCAAAGCCAATATTTTGGGCATCCACTTTAATCTCCCACTTTCCGTTGCCGTGAGTCTGAATGCTTGTGGCCGGCAAACTCCACCAGGGTTCATATGTTTCTAAACAGATTTCCGTGTTTACTGTTCTAATGTGCTTTTCTTTTGTTTCTCAACCATGAATTTACTTCTAAAGAAGTCCTCTCCCTAAATAGTGGTAAGGGTAACTTCTTGTTACTTTGTCATCATGTTATATCGGATTTGGTGTTTGTACTTTCGAATAAAGTTTTCATGATGTAAGGGTAACTTCTTTGTTACTTTGTCATGATGTAAGCTCAGTCGGCTCTAAGCTTGTATGTTTCTATGTTGTGATCAGTGAAAAGTTAAAAAGCTTTTATATTATATTCATGTCGCCATTTTCAGACTCTGTAAAAGAACACTACATAATTTATAAGCGTAAAATTGAGGATTAATGCGTGGATATTTTCGTTGTTGGCCAAGGTTGTCAAGACTCTGAAATATCAACGTCCTAAAAAATTCTATCCTTTTTTTTTTTTTTGTGATGTTGTGAGTGAGAAAACATCAAAAATATGTGATGATTAAGCCACTCTGATGTTGTTTTGGTTTTGGGATAAATTCCTTTTATCCATTGCCAATAGCTGGAGTAATTTGTTACCGTAGTGTTAACTTTTGAAATGTTAAAATTAGGAGGGACAAAAAGGCATATACAAGGAGGATGAATCCTAGAATATTTTTTTGCTTTCAATTATTTGCAGCCATCGATCATTTACCTTGATTTATTTTTGCAAAAGTTTAACTAGAAACCATTCCTCCCGAAAAATAATTGTAGCTGCACATCCCAACAACTATTTTCTGCATTAAAGATTAAAGCATAGCCGAACAAAGCCTGAATGTACGATAAAAATAACCAACATAATTTTACGTATTTTCATTCTAAACATTCGAATATTTGATACTATATTAAGAGTAAATTATTTACACTGACAGTCTAAACTATTTATTAGACTATATTATAAAATAAGAATAAATCTTTTATACACTGACAGTGTATACACTATCATTATTGAATTAATGACATGTGTGCAAAAGTTCAATTTCAAATTAAAATTTTGTATAATTGTCATTTATCCAACGCTATACTATCAGTGTAGGAAAGATTAATTCTAAAATTAATAGTTGGGGTGCGATTAACCAAAAAAGAGAGTGTATTTAATATTTCCCTCCATCTTTATTGGCAAATTTATTTGTTATGTTGAACAAAAGTTGTCATCTCTTTCACCATTTGGAAAAAAAAAAAGGTAGGAGATGAAGTGGATGCAATGATCACTGAGCAACTATGACTCCGTGCTGCATGTCCTTCCTTATAATTCCTAGATAGGTAATGGGCCGTTAAGCCTTCCTAGCAGCTTTTTTTTTAAAAAAAAAAAGGGCTCTTTTTTGCTGCATTAGGAAGATGATGTTTCGCTTATTAAAGTTTCTCAACCGACCTCCTAATGTTTCGGTTGAAGAATGTGGGACTCTTGATTTTCTTCAAATAATAATGTACATAATTTGGACAAGGAAATTGGTACTTAATAGGATATTATACGATATTTGTTTGTCTAGAATATAGGATAATTAGTAATTACTGCATGGAAATGCCATTTTTCCAATAAACCCTCATTCATGTATACTTACACTTTTTGGCTGCAATAGCAAAGATAACATTTTCACACGTTAAAGCTTCTGAACTGAGGCCTAGTGTTAAAGGGAACATCTAATGCTATTGTCGGTTGAAGAAGGTTACTCGGACTCTTGATGAATGATGATTAGTTTCTCCAATAATAATATACATAACTTTATTTAATAGGATATTTTATGATATATATTTTTCTAGGATATAGTATAACTTAATGAATTGAAATCCCATTTTTCTAATTAATCCTAATTAATGTATTTATAAAGACAGGGAATGTGAAAAATCCTTCTAGCCAAACAATTGAGAGTTCTTTTTTTTTTTTAATGCATAAAAAAGGAATGAGTAACATTAAAGATCAAGGTGGCTCTTCACATTCTGAACGTATCGAGGGTGTTCTTTAAGAAAATAATTCGGAGGATTGGAGAAAAAGAAACGAATGGTAATAGAACATTAATTTAACTACCAAACTTAATTACTCGAGGAAAATGTAAGTATAATTTTTATGTGACATAGGAAAAACAATTCAAAATCAAAATGGTAGGAAAAGATATTATCTCAGACGAAGATTCTTTGGGTCAAGAAAGATATGCACATTCAAGCAAAGACATTACAGATGGTAAATATGGTAAAATGGAAAAATATATTTGCAGGGAAAGATTCTAGGATTTGATTAAATGAAGATGGGAATCCAAAAGGTAAAAATATAAAGAAGATAAAAGCATGTATTTATACGTCTTCCTTGAATATAGGAGAAAAGATTGACAAACGAGTATAAAGGCAATCAAAGATTTACGGCCTTATTTTGGCCATTCCTATGTTTGGCAAGAAACCAAAATACATGTAATATATTTAGTATATAAAGAACAAGCTAGAAACCAATGCATTTCTCAGAATTCAAGAAACATGGCTTCAAGATCTGCTTTTGGGATTCTTATAGTTTTCATCTTCCTCTGGACTGCTGCTGATGCTTCTGCATTTTTGCCACCTAAAATCTTCAATGTTCTGAACTATGGTGCAAGAGCTGATGGAAACACAGATAACAGTCAGGTTAGTTTGTGCAGACTAAATCAGCCAACCCATGGGATTTTCCAAAAGGGAAATCTACTAATGTTCATTATGAACTTGATGTTTTTACAGTACTACTTTTCAACAAATTTGTGTGGAAGTATTTCTATTTTACGTACTTTTGTTATTAATTTCTCGCCCACAAAACGAAAAAGAACTTGTGCAGTTTGAGGTTATTGGAAAGTGGATTAATATTTTCTCTTTTGTTTTTGGGTACTTTTGGGAAGGCATTCCTGAGAGCATGGATTGATGCTTGTAGATGGAAAGGAAGGAGCAGAGTTTTGATTCCAGGGGGAATCTACTTGCTGCATTCAGTAACATTTTTGGGACCATGTCTTGGAGAAATGACATTTATGATTAGAGGGACTCTTAGGGCTCCTAATAATCCTGCATTGTTCTTCACAGACACTTGGATTGGATTTCGTTATGTTGATAATTTGAGTGTGAAAGGGGGTGGATATTTGGATGGTCAAGGTGCTTCTGCTTGGCCTTACAATGATTGCTTCAAGAACTCTCAATGCTTGTCCCTCCCTATTGTAAGTTCCATTTCTGTATAGCATACTTCGCTTTTTCTTTTTTCTTTTTTCTTTTTTTGGGTGTGCGTGGGGAAAGAAATTAATGATTTTGAAGTCTCTCTCGACTTTAGATTTTAACCCCAAAAAAAATATATTTTTCTCTTCTTTTGGGGGAGGGGGATCTTTAATCACCACTTACCCTTATAATAATCTCTTTTGTCATCTTAAATTCTTTACGAATTGTTGCTCAATTATCAGGTTGAATATTTTGTTTAAGGCTAGCAGATTCTCCTTAAGCTTATTATTGGGAACACTTAATATGAGTACGCTGTTGTACTATTTGATAGGCAACCTTTGTTCCTGAATTGGTATTAGGCTTTGTTGGAACTATTAAGTTACTCGAATTAGGACTTGATTGAAGAGGGATTAACTATAATCATCCTCCTTCGTTCACACCTTGATAATTCCTTAACATTTCTAGTGAAAAATTTAATGTATTTCGATAATTATGAGTTCGATGGAGTGGTTATGCTGTTGTAATTTTCTTTTTATAGGAAATTTGGAAAATAGTGCACAATTAACCAGAGAACTTCCAAAGATTACAATAAAGAATAAATAATATTCTACAAAAAAAAAAAAAAAGGTATTTCTGGTTGTATGTTCTGGACCAAAGGGTCCTCACATTTGCCCAATTTGGTCTAAAAAGCTTGATTTTGATCAAAGTCTATTCTTCTTGAAAGCAAGTGTCACATCATTTAAGAAGTAAATACCTTATCAAAATTTTCTTCTTTTGAATGTTCATTACAGCTTTTCTGCTCTCTCTATATAGCCTAATATCAGGTCTCTGCTGTTTTCATTTCCCTGATTTGATCCTGTCAGAGTTTGAGGTTCGACTTCATCAGGAATTCCAAGATTCAGTACATAAGGTCAATCAACAGCAAAAAGGCCCATATCAACCTTTTTGCATGCGACAACATTAACATCAGCTATGTCAGGCTGACTGCTCCAGAGAATGCTCCAAACACAGATGGAATCCACATTGGGGCCTCAACCAATATAAAAATATCAAGAGTGAACATAGGAACAGGCGATGATTGCATATCCATGGTCTCAGGCAGCCAGAACATTGACATTTCTGAAGTTAATTGTGGCCCTGGTCATGGCATCAGCATTGGAAGCCTTGGCAGAGGGTTTGAGAATGAATATGTTATGGGCATAAGTGTAAGGAATGCCACTTTCAGTAATACTCAAAATGGTGTGAGGATCAAGACCTGGTCGCCTTCTTTGTCTAGTTTGGCTGCAAATATTAGTTTCCACAACATCATAATGCAAAATGTTAACAACCCCGTCATTATTGATCAGAAGTACTGCCCATCTTGCCCCCCATCGGTATGATTTCTTTTCTTTACGTCCAATTTGTACACTGACAGTGCAGTAATACCGCTTTTACACGGCTTTGGATGCATGACATATAACATCTATTGCAAATCAAGATTCTCTTTTTATACACGTGACACGTATCGAAATTTATACTGATGGTGTAAGAAAATTTAATCGTGTTTTCAATTGATACTAAATCCGCTTTCTTTTGCGACAGTACTACTTAACAATTAATTTGTTGCTTTTAGGGTGATGAATCAGTCTCAAAAGTTCAAATCAGAGATGTGAAATTCAGCAACATTTGGGGCACATCCAGTTCTCAGGTTGCATTATCTTTGCAATGTAGCAAATTGGTGCCATGCCAAGACGTGAAGCTCGTGGATATTGACTTAGCTTACAGAGGCCAAGGAGGACCTGCAATTGCATCTTGCTCTAATGTTATTGGCACTTCCTATGGCAGACAGGTCC